TATGAGAATCACATTATCGAGATCATGTATATTATTTTGTTTTTGTTTTTCTCTTTCCTTTTTTCTTAAACCAGATCATGAATTGAATATACATGGTTTAATTATTATGACACCGCAATATCGTTCTAAAAGTTGATGGTTTGATATCTCTTTTCAATTGTTGAACAAAAGAAAAAGAAAAAGAAAGAAAGAAAATTTTGACCCTGTTATCCAAATCGAGAAATAGGTGAAAACAATATTCAAAATTTACGTGGTGCTGAAAAGAGAATCTCAAATATACACTGGAAAATAGTGCTTCGAGAGAGAATGTTACAGAAATAATTTAATGATTCGCCTAATACATTAGACCATTATAATTTTACTTATTTAGAGTGAAGTAAGCTAGCCAAAGAACAAAATGGTACCCTCCACATTTTCACGACTTTTGGAAAGAAAAAAAAAAGACTTCATTTATTTTATTTTTGTATAACAAGATAAAAAAAGAATAAATCCTAAAAGACATTTTGGTGTTCTTAATTCTAATCTTAATTCTTCTCACCAACCTAATACAGTACTATTTATTTATTTATTTTTTGTATAAGGTGAAAAGTTTAATTCTCCTCCAATATCTGTAATTCTATATTTTAAAATTAAATTTTTTTTGGTATAGATTGAAAATTTCAATTCTCATCTCATATTCGCAGCGTTATACCTTTAATTTAAAAAATGTATTTTTTTAATTAACAATATAAAATTAAAATAGAGAAAAATATAGGCTTTGGAAAGTAATTTCACGTGAGGAGCCATTACTTTTGTTGATATGTTGTGGGCAGACAAAAACCAGTAGGGTTGTTGAATAGAGAGAGAATTTAATTAAGTATTTTAAGTAGAGAGAAGAGAGACGAGGTGGTCCAAATACAAAAATGCCACGTGGCTTGGAAATGCGTTAATTAAAAACCCTAATTTTAACTTTTTCTTAATGCGGCGATTATAGAGGAAACCCAGACAGAGGTCAGAGATTTGTGAATTACTAATTATAGTGTTAATATTTAAAAAAAAAAATTGGGAGACTCGGAAAAGGGAAAAGAGAAAAAGGAAAAAGGATAGAGCTATCTCTCCTCGGGTAGTGTAATCCCATTCCCAAAATTATTTTAAAAAAATAAAAATGGAAACGGATTATCTGAATTATTATTGGTTATTTTAAGGAAAAAGTGGATTAAAAATTTGCAAAAAAAGGTAAATCTTGCGTCTGAATTCGAGAACCGCCGGAACGTGGTCCTACTGTTGAGAAAATACTCGGCAAATAAAGTTTATATTATATCTTATTTTATTTTTGGACTTCTTTACTTTTCATGCTTATTTGAGTTTTGTACGATTGTATCTGAATTTTATAAATATTATATTTTTTAACCCCACTTATTTGTCAATGAGTTTGGTAGAATTTATAAATTCCCGTCGGACGAAGATTCAAGGGTTAAAAATTAGTTTCGATAATTGYAATTTTATTAAAGTAACGATTTAATTCATGAATTTTAGTCTGTAATGATTTAACCTATGTATTTTAAATTTGTAACAGAGTGTAGTTCATATACTTTAATATGTGTAACAATTTAGTTATTGTAATTAAAAATTTCTAACGATTTAGTTCTTATCATGACAAACATTGTTAAGATTTAATGTGATATAAATTAATTAATAATGAGGGATAAAATGGTAATAAACTACCGAGGCTAAATCATTAGGTAACAAAAATGGTTACATATTAAAATTTATGAACTAAATTGTTACAAATTTGAAGGTACAAATACTAAATTGATATAATTTAAAATTCAGGAACTAAATCGTGACTTCAATAAAATTATAGGATAAAAAATATTTTTTAACTTAGATTTTATATCCTGCTTTGTTCTTCGGACTATTTGCTTTTCATGCTTGTTTGCGTTGGGTATGTAAAATTTTGAAATATTCTATTTGATTCATCTTTCAACGAAAACAAATAAAATAACATTAAAAAAAGTTAAAATATGATATTTTTCAAAATTGGAGAGGCTACTGATAAGAGGGCAAGATTTTAAGATCTAACGATAAAATGAAGTTTTTATTTATTTATTTTATACTTCGATTGAACAATATTAACTACTTGACAAAACATCCTTTATCTTTTTCTTTTTTGAAAATAAACAAAATTAAAAAGTCAAATAGTTTTAGTGTCAAATCGTATGCAACAATTCAAGCTATGTCTTTTTCTTAACAAATTAAAGTCATGTCTTCCACTTGTGCACTTGGTTTTATGAATTAGTTTGACGGCATATCGTAATTTATCCATTTGGCATGCCAACTACAAATAATTTTGTTGATAAATTGAACATTTTTAACCTTATGTTTAGTTCAATCATGGTAGAATTAGGAATCAAATAATTGACTTTTAATAATCTATTTGCTAAAGTTTTTATTTCTTATTTTTAATTACACAAAACAATAACAATATAGATTAACAATCATAACTATATGAATTACTTATAGAACTGTAAGATTACTTGAAAAATTACTAACATAAATATATTAAGGATTTAAAACTAATAATAACTATATCATAAAAAGAAAAGAAAAGAAAAGTTAGACTAGAATATAATAATAGAGATAACAACCTGTAAGCTTTAATTAAAGAAAAAAAATAGATTAAAATATAATTTTGACCGCTAAATCAGGAGATAAATAAATAAGAGAAAATTTGAGAGTATAAGAGAGAATTGAGAATTTTGAGATTGAGGTGTGAATAAAATTTAGGAGAGAAATATTATATATAGTGGAAAAAATGAGAGAGAAATAGTATTGAAAATTTGAGATTGAGCGAAAGTAAAGAGGTATTTATAGTTTACTTCCAAAAAAAAAAGAAGAGGTATTTATAGTTGGTAAAAATATAATATAAATAAATTGAGCGGTTAAAAAATAGTCTTGGGAGTTGTGTGTTTGATGGGAAAAAAAACAAATTGATGAATGATTTGGAAAGAGGTTTCGGAAATTGTGTGAATTTATCTCTGAAAAAAAATAATTACGTGAATTTATATTTAGAAAATGAAAGTAGGTAAAACGCAAAAGTAAAGGAGAATTAAACATTTTTTAATACAACAATATGTGGACGTGGAGATTTGAAGTCATGATCTTTTAATAAGAAATAAATGGAAGAAGGTTGTGACACTTTTGGAGAGATTGTAATTTGGGTATTTCATCTATTTAGTTTCCTTTATTGTTTTTCTGTTAAAAAAAAAATACAACAGGATGTAGAGATTTTAATCATGATATTTTAATTAGAAATAGATGTCTTAACCAAACGAATTAAATTTGAAAAGTAAAAGTAAACATTAAATCAATAAAATCACTCATATTCAAAAAAAAAAAAAAGTGGTTATGTAGCGACGTGTCAACAAGTTAAGTTGTTGACAATATCTTCTACATGAGGGAAGAAACGACATTCTCATGCCCTCCACATGTCGAGTAGCCAGACACGTCGACATGGTGACATGACACTCGACTTTGAAACCTTGGTTTTGCTTACGTTGGGACCAATAAGTAGGTTATTTAGTGATTGTAATTAATTAATTAGTAAGTTATCATATAATTATTGTTCAGGATTAATCAATATATCGGTTAATTATAAATTTACATTAGTTAATGACTATCATATATAATAAACATATTTATCATATGTAATTCAAGCAGAGCGAACCTAACTCACCGGTAATTAACACATATCTCTAGTGAGTTCAAACCCCACCCCACATATTGTATTAAAAAAAGAAAAAAACAATGCCAACCCGAACATAACATAAATAGTTAAACCTCCAAGTTTAAATCCACACACCACCTTTATTGCCCTAAAAAAACATGGTTAAATTAAAAATTTCGTCTACAAACTTTCGGGACTATGTTTAGTAAAACTAACCTTTACATTAAAATTTTGTGTTCGACATGTTCGTAAATTTGATAACATATCTATTAATTTCAATGATAAATTAGATATAACCCTAAAAATGAGAGGATACATTAAGCACAACTTAAAAATTTTTACTAAACTTGTAATTAAAAAAAATTATCCAGTAATAAATTTTTAGAAAATGTTACATTTATAAGTATATCTTAACTATTTAAAATATGGAGGTCTTTAAAATTATATTTATAAAATTGTTAGAAAATATGTCCCATATTCAAATATTTAATTTGATTCCTTTTATCATTTTTAGGCACTACAGAAGAAACAATGGAAAGATAAAATAAAAAAGATGTTCATACATTTTTTACTGACCACCCTAACTAATATGAATGTTGATGGATATTTATGTAAAGATTATAAAAATGTAAATTAATAGAAAAAATTAATATTTTTAGTAAAAAAAATTTTAAAACTAAATAAATAAATATTTTACTATTTGAATATAAATTTAAAATTATAAATTTAACATTACTAATATTAACGTTATGTATATACTAATGATATTTTTTCTATATTTTGTAACGCTAAAAAAATAAGTTGATGTTGACTTTATGGACAAATGAGAATGTCCATATATCAGATAAAAATTTATTAGCGAACTCAATTTTGATGTGTAAGAATAAAAAAATTACAGAAAAAATATATCTTTTTAGTTTTAGAAAATTTAAAAATGGTCAAATTTTAATGGATGACCGTAAAAAATCTAAATATTGTTGAGGAGAAAAAGGAAAAAAAACCGTGTTCTAAAAAAAACCGCTAGTAGAGCCTAGAGGGAAAGCTTTACTTCCCTGAAAGGCTCTTAAGTGCTACGTGTCGGCACGAGCGTTGAGCTGAACCTTACGTGTTCTTTCGCAACGCAAGGCGCGCATGTACGCCCCCGGCTTTCCCTGTTTCCACCCTTTTTTATTTTTATATTATATTTATATTGCAGACATATATATATATATTTTATTTATTTATTTATTAAGCATGGATCTTAGGAATTATAATAAGTGTCTTTATCGCTATGCTACATATTTTTATTTTATTTCTCCACCGATTCATAATTCATTCATCTCTCCAATTTTCGTGCTTAAGAAACTCGCTCCAATTTTCTTCATTGGCCTGCCATTTTCTCTTTCCTCTCCCACCGTCTTTCTCTGCTCAAATCCAACCTCCAGTCTCTCTCCATTTTGGACTTCGCAGTCTTATCGCGACTTCCATAAATTAGGTTTACTCTACGTTTCTACTGCTGGAATCTGCATCTCCGTATTCGTCCCTTGCCGCCGCCGTCGTCGTTTTATACTCCCGCAATAAGCTACTGTATTCAGGTTGCTTATGAAGCTGCTTTGTTCGGTTTGTTCTGTTTTTTTGGTTTCTGTACTTGTGGAATTCGGCTATGGTTTTTAGTGTTGCGTTTGTGTTGTTTTTTTCGTCTTGTTTTGTGTGGTTTCTATAGTGTTTTGAGTTGCAGGTGTTCTTAGCTACTGTTTGATCACTGATGGAACTGGACATTGTTTGTTGTTCTTGATCGAATGCAGAGGTGGTGAAAGTGAAAGTTGGTGAAGTTTGAGATTAACAGAGGATTCGAGCGAGCGAGCGATTGAGAGTTGAAGACAGACGTGTGTTCGTTCTTGCTTGAGTTCGTGTTTTCGTGCGGGATTCTCTGTTTTGGCTGGACGCTGAGACTGTAAAAAATGCCGCACAGAACGACTTACTTCTTCCCGAGGCAATTTCCGGATCGCGGATTTGACTCGGCATCAACTTCCAAACAGATTTTGGATCACGAGAAGAAAATCAACAAAGACACTTTTAGTACTGAAAGCGACGCGAAACCGACCCCGCGGCCAGCGCGCGACTTTAGCGTCACGAAGAGTTCGGCTGTATCGGATCTTTTCACGGGGGACAAGACTCAAAGCAATAAGAAACTTCCTGCTTTTTACGATTGGTTGGTGGACAAGAAAGCAACGCGATCGGCGACTGCTCACGTGAAAACTTGGCTTTCCAATTGCGACGAGGAGCACGAGCTTTTGCTTCCGCCGCCTACCTCGGAGCCGGACCACGACACAACGCCGGTTAAGGATCGGAGTGTTGACCGGAACTTTGACCGTCAAGTTTCACTGCCTAGGGTATCAAGCGGGAGTAGCTATGCGGGGAGTTTGTTTTCAGGAACGGGAACGGGAACGGGGACAGTGGATGGAAATTTTTCCAGCGATGTTAAGGATTCATCGGCCTCAAAGATCTTGTCCTCGCGCACGGCAAGGCCGGAAGAGATTGAGGTTGAAGGTAGTAAGGAGAACCTAGCAAAGAGAGCGACAGAGAGTTATTACCTGCAACTTGCTCTGGCTGCATCGCTTCGCTCCAATGCTAGTCTCGCTGGCGATCCTGTGCTTATGGAGGAGGGCAGGGTCGACGTTACGGACGCTGAAACCGTTTCTTACCGACTTTGGGTATATGCACTATCTATCTCCAGTTTTCTGACTTGTATATTTCAAAGTCTAATTGTTCTCGGTAATCAAATGAAAAGGTTCAGTTGTTTTTTTTTTAAAATTATTTATCCTGCCTGGTACATCATCAACTTCTGAAGGATTTTGAAGGCATATCTCAAATGGCGACGTTAAGTTTAGGTGTATGGTTAATGACCGAGTCTTTTGTTTACGAGCTTGTCTCGGCAGAAACTTCCTCAGATTTTATCAGTCGATTCCTACCTTTTAACTTTCTCGAGCTTCCTTGGTCTTCTATTTTCCTTCCGCATTTTTCTTGCTTAATAGCCTGAAGTTTTGATTTATAATTGGTTCGTAATTGTCTTTGTATTTTGCTTCTGATAACTCTGTTAATTTTCCTACTGTCTTGTCGAATTTGTGCGATTCGTTACGAACTAATAGTCGTCCTCAGAGCTAGATGTTAAGCTTCCAATTAATTATTTACGACTCTAGACTCGCATATTCTCAGGTAAGTGGTTGCCTCTCCTACTCCGACAAAATTTCAGATGGCTTCTACAATATTTTGGGTATGAACCCATATCTCTGGGTTATGTGCAATGATTTTGAGGAAGGTAGACGGCTACCACCACTGATGTCGCTTAAAACCATTGAACCAAGTGAGACGTCAATGGAGGTGGTTCTTGTTGATAGACGTGGGGACTCTCGACTGAAAGAGCTTGAAGACAAAGCACAAGAACTATATTGTGCTTCAGAGAACACCCTGGTGTTGGTGGAGAAACTAGGAAAACTTGTTGCGATCTACATGGGGTACGTTATCACAATTTTTCTTTGATTCCACAGCAGATCATTTATTGCATAACTAAAATTTGTGCGCTTCTTTTTAAAAAATATTTTTATTCTTTTTCCAACAAACAGGGGCACTTTTCCGGTGGAGCAAGGAGGGTTACATCTCCATTGGAAAGTGGTGAGCAAAAGATTGAGGGAATTTCAGAAGTGCATAGTGCTTCCAATTGGTAGTCTTTCTATGGGGCTATGCAGACACCGTGCAATACTTTTCAAGGTACTTCATGGGTTGTCGTATTTGATCTTCAAGTGTCCCCTTATGCTTTGAGAAACTATTTTATTTAGCTTTTGAATTTCTTCCTTCTACGTATGCTTGTTGGAGAAGAATTCCAATTTTATCAAGCTTATGATTATCAAAATTAATTCTCTTAACAATATGACACAAGAATGTGATAGTGTGCTATAAGAAGTTGAAAATAATCTTAGTTTCGGGCATTGCGATTAATGAAGACTGGATTAGAAGAATGAGTTCACACCAATAGTTATTTCCCTGTACGGAGTAAAAAAATGGCTTGTTTTCCTGTCTATTTGTTTTAAATAGCTTTTTTGCTCTGTTGGTTTAGTAGATCAGGGATGTACTTAATGTCTTCAGAGTCTTGCTGCATTCAGTATGGAAAGGGCATGAATGCCTTATTTTGAAGGGGGTACCTCATGGCAACACCGGACGAACTTGTAGGACTTGAATGATTAGCACCTCTCTTTCAAGTGTAAACACAGTAAATTGTAGCCTGTAACCGGGCATGTTTATTTTTCATAATAATTGCTTGAGGATTATTGTTCAATTGTAGCCTGTAACCGGGCATGTTTATTTTTCATAATAATTGCTTGAGGATTATTGTTCTTTTGTTTGCAGAAATTGGCAGATTATATAGGTTTGCCATGTCGGATAGCTAAAGGTTGCAAGTATTGTGTTGCAGATCATCGATCCTCTTGCCTCGTCAAAATTGAAGACRACAGGCAATCATTGAGGTTAGATAATCAAGCTCGACCTCTCAGGAAGCTTTTTCACGACAAGTTATACAGTTTTCAGATTTATCTCAGTAAAAATCCTAGGCATTTTATCTCATTTCTGCCTTATTCATGAGGGTTCTGGTATTACCAATTATAACACAAGCTTACAATTTTAACTATGTGGTATCACAAGCAAATATGACATTGATGAAGTTTTCCATTGTATAGCCATAAGGCAGGATCATCTTGAAAAAAGTTGCATAACTCTTTTGCTTGAATGAATTTGGGAGTTGGTAATTAATAAATCTCCCTTCTAGTACTTTTTGGATACCTAAAAGGCTAAAACTATCTGTAGATCATGTAGTTTCTGATTCCCACAAGGTTTTTTTTTTTAATTGTATATGTCGAACATCATGGATATGCGATTGCATTACTGAGGCTGTGGATATCCTGTTGGCTCCCCATTCTTAAGTCAACAATTTAGTTTTGTTGTTAATGAAGGCAGGGCCTCTAAATTTGTTTGAGTGGAACACAATGCGTACTCAATTTCTGGTCATAGTTTATATGATGTCTTATTGTTTTGTTTACGGATGCTTATGTTCTTAACAGAGAATATGTAGTTGATTTAGTTGGGGAACCAGGAAATATACATGGTCCAGATTCCTCAATTAATGGAGGGTTCCCATCTTCAATGCCTTCACCACTCCACATTTCTCATTTAAAAGAGTTCCAAGAACCTTTTGTGGAAAGCCATCAGACCGTAGGCTCAAAGCAAAATCGTGCTTTTCCTCTAAATCTTCTACATTCAGGTTCGTAAATGGTGAAAGACATTTCTTAAAATATATAGAACTCAGACAACTTTGGGTACTATAAATGCTTTGGAGGTTTCTCATAATTTTTGTTTAGTAGTAAACGTGTCAACTGAGTGTAGATGTGTTCGTTTATGCATAAAATTTAGCATTAGCCGTCCTTTATGTTTATGTGGTTTCTTGCCATATTTAAATTGTTGTGTATGATCTTCCAAACCCAGGTATTGTTTCATATATATGTCATCTAATGTTTGCACTTTGCTAATGTAATTAGTATTGATCTGGCTTACTCCCAGTTGTATTTACTACTCAAACAAACTTTTTGCTAATGCTATTTGTTCATGCTGCATGTTAGATTAATGTTCATTGGAAGCATGGCCGGCATTTTGTTGATTAAAGTAGAAACTGCTTATGTTATATATATCCTTTTTTCTTTTTGAAAATAAGCAACATGGCAAATTACTCTTTAAAAATTAGGCTATCATGGGTTACATGGATTTGTCCGGAAAGTCTTCTTAAACATACATGCGGCATCCATGTATGGTTTGGTTTAATGCAAACTTTGCTATTGTTATATAATGCTGAATGTTCCTTATAAATTGGAAGGCATGACAAAGTTTCATTTTGGATCAACACTTTGTAGGTTTTGGAGAGCACCAGATGAAAGGGGGAAGCATTTTACATAAGAGTCCAGGGCCTGAAACTGATAATTTGGTCGATCAAGCTTGTATGAGATCATTGCAGCTGTGTTTGGAAACAAAAGTGAGCAAGGAGTGTGTGCTTCAGAGTCATATATTGGCATCTGCTGACGCTGATGCCTCCAAGGTGTTGGATTCTGTTGCTGGTGCATCTTTACATGAAAACAAAGTAGTAGTTGAAGAAATATGCCGGACAGAGGCGGTTGTGGCAGGGATTTCACTGAATGGAACTCCTTCAACTCAAACAAATTCAAAGGAGGTTGAGGGTCGGTCTCAAAATTGTTCAGCGGCATACCTGACACTTGAACCATCACTTGCAATGGATTGGCTGGAAATTGCATGGGATGAATTACATATAAAGGAGCGTGTTGGAGCTGGTAGTTCCACATCCCTCATCATTCCTGCTTGCATTAAATGTATAAATGGGTGACCAATCCTGAATTTTCCCCTTCGTTGTTTTTGCAGGCTCATTTGGAACAGTGCATCGTGCTGAATGGCATGGATCGGTTAATTTTCTATACCTCTCTCTCTCTGATTCATGATTCAACATTTATGTTCAGTTCTTAATGTATCAAATTTCAATAGACTAGTCTTTCAATCTCTACTTATTTTCTATTTCATCACCTAGAACGGCCAATTGGATGCTAATTTTCTTTGCGGGCCCCATGACCCTCCTTGAAGGGGGCAAAAGCGTATGGGAAAAACTTTCCATTAAAATTTTAATTCTGAGGAGAATAAGAAATTCGTTCACTTGCTCTCGACCCTGGACCCTTTTCTTTAAATTGTATTATTCAACAATTATTATTTTTAATAAATACATTTTGGATTTTAATATTTCAACATATGAATAGATTAAGAAAAATTTATATACATTCTACTGGTAAAAATTTTAAATATTTACATAACATAAAATACTTGAACCAGTAGAAAATTAATTGTAATAGTTTCATAAGTTCAAAATAATTTTATTTTGCAAATGGAAGAATTCCTACACCCACTTTTTATGGGAATTTTCAGACATGGGGATTGTTTTGGATAGCAGGGACGCTAATGGGAAGCCATCCCCTGCCTCACTCCCATGCTGGCCCGCCCTTTTCGTCCTCCGTACCTCTAAATGGAAACACAAGCTACAGTTACCTTCTATCACTTATTTAGACATTGATCAAAGAAGATGACTAGTATAAATAAGGGACCTCTTGCTGGTTCTCTGCTCTTTTATATGTAACATATCTTGATATTTCTATATGTGCTTGCATAATAAACAAATATTATTCTGCACAGGATGTTGCTGTCAAGGTTCTAACCGTGCAGGATTTCCATGACGATCAGTTGAAAGAGTTTCTAAGAGAGGTATAATGAGAAGCTAATAGTAATTTACTCGTACACTGGTTCTTCCTTTTCTAGTTCATTTGCTATCACTATCTGAAATTGCATACGTTTGTGCTGAATCCCCATATATTTAGCTGGGGGAAAATGTTATATAAATAACAACTAATCTTGCAACTGAAATAGTATGATGCACTTGTACCTTGAACCTCTGCGTTTCAATAAGAAGTGAATTGAGCATAGACACCCGGAATGATCTTGCAACCAATTGTCAATTGATTTGTTATGATTTTGAAATTATTTTTATTTGCAGTAATGTCTTGATGACATTTTAATTATGTAGTTTGATCTTCCCTATTGTTATTCTATTCACACGATATCCAATCACAATTGCTAATTCCCATTGTGGGAACTCTCTTTTTTGTCCATGTATTGTGAATCTCCCTTTGGGTTGATGTCCATATATCTATCCCTTGGACACCCAACCCTACAATATGTTGAATTTTTATATATCCTTAAAAAAAGAAACAAGTAAAGTTCCACCATTCATTTCTCAAGTTGCATTATTTATAGTGTAATCACTTAGAGTAACGGATTGTTATGACCATTGCTCAGTTATACTTTGTAAAACTTCCCAGGTTGCAATAATGAAGCGGGTCCGCCATCCAAATGTGGTCCTCTTCATGGGTGCAGTTACAAAACGACCTCATCTTTCGATAGTAACTGAATACCTGCCAAGGTTACTTTCTTCCCCATTAATTTTTTTTTAATCCTTCGCAAATTGGCGTCTAATTTTGAATCTTTGTATCAGGGGTAGTCTCTATCGTCTAATTCACAGGCCATCTTCTGGCGAATTGATGGATCAAAGGAAGCGATTGCGCATGGCACTGGATGTTGTGTGTATCTCTTCTTTCTTGTTTTCTTGTTTCATACAATTATCTGAACTAGCAAAGTAATTCTTATTTATCTTGCAGGCAAAGGGAATCAACTACCTACATTGTCTCAATCCTCCTATAGTACACTGGGATCTTAAATCTCCTAACTTGCTGGTTGACAAAAATTGGACAGTAAAGGTACTGGAAAAGTGCCATTTATTTTAAATGTTTCATGAAAGAGAGCACGGTTGACTTCCTTTGCTAATTACAATGTGTGTCTAGGTTTGTGATTTTGGGTTGTCCAGATTCAAAGCAAACACTTTCATATCATCAAAATCTGTAGCTGGAACAGTAAGTTGCTTTACCATATTGGTATATCCATTGAATAGTACTTATCTCCAGTGTTTGTTCCTACGTGCATCCAACACCACGTGTTTGTGTGAAAACATTTGGACTTAGATGAATATTAGTCTCTGATAATCCTGAATAATTAAAGTTGCTGTATCATGTCCTTGATGGTGTCATCGAATTAGTTCTTGCTTGGAATGCCTAACATTAGAGAGGACAGACAATGGGGTTACTACGTTGTTGCTGGAACAGTAACTATTTCTAGCATGTTCCAAAATCAGGTCACTGTTCAGTAAGATATTGATCCCATCTTATCCTTTGAAATATATAGAGGATTCATTCACCATGTGTAATCATCTGATTTAAACCTTTTCTAGTAGGCTCATCTGTAATGCCATATTATTCGTATCGCCATAGAAAGTCAGATTTTGCACCAATATTTTGCAGGTTAAAATTTTACTCAGCCGTCCATCAATCAGCATGTAACTCTGTTGCTTTTATTTTCAGCCCGAGTGGATGGCTCCAGAATTCCTTCGGGGAGAGCCTTCAAATGAGAAGTCTGACGTTTACAGTTTCGGAGTGATCCTCTGGGAACTGGTAACAATGCAACAACCTTGGAGTGGGCTTGGTCCGGCTCAGGTAAGATTTATTCTAAGCATTTAAATATTTTAAAACAACTTATCCCACTTTCCTCAGACTGCTGTTAGCAACGGCATTCATGTCGGTTAACATGTTTGTGCAAACTCTTAGGTTGTGGGAGCTGTCGCTTTCCAGAATAGAAAGCTTTCCATCCCATCAAGTACTTCCCCACTGCTGGCTTCGCTCATCGAGTCTTGCTGGGCAGAGTAAGTTATTTGGTTCACAATCTATGTGCAAGTGCTTGGTCTGTGTTTATTATGTGATTTTTCCCCCTCCCTAGGAAGAATGTATCTGTAGGCTTGAAATGTTTTCCTCCAATCTACTTTCCTATTTACTATCTCTCGAATGAGGAGTTTGGAAACTATTTTTGCTGTTGTTTAATTCAATAGTCTCTCCAATATCTTATTTGTATGTAAGATGTGACTTGGAGACTCTGAAGATGGTGATGTCGATGACCTAGAAAATATCGAAAAAAGAATCTCATATTTCCTTGTTTTCATGGCAGCGATCCGGTTCAGCGCCCATCCTTCGCAAGCATAGTCGAGTCTTTAAAGAAATTGCTCAAATCTCCACAGCAGTTGATAGCGATGGGCGGAACGTGAAGACATCTCCCAGCTAGCTGCTAAAGCCGATTTGGGAGAGCTAACCAATTATGCAGTAACATAAACCCCTTGATAACCAATATCTTCAACTGACTCGGTCATTTTGGTCTTTGGCAACTGTAGATTTTGGTGGTTGTATAAGGCTGGAAATAGCCCATTAAGCAGATGAAAGCTCAGGCTTTTAGTAGCAAGTACCCCATAGAAAAACAGTAAATTCTACGTCAATATTGGTTCTGCAATGGGGTTTATAACATCGCAAATCCAAATGTAATACAGTTCCAAAATTACTGGGAACGTATTTTTACTGCTAACTGCACTGTACCCGGCCTGTAATCTCTGTGAACCCGCAGTATGTTATCGCCATCTCTAATGGTGAAAGCGGAAATAAAATAAAATATTACCAATTTCTTTTTACCTTCCCGTAAATTAGATGGGATTTATAGCAGCAGGAAGAACGTCTCTGAAGGGAAATTATTCTTGCCAAGCAATTCTGTGATCGACAACGGCAGAAGTAGCGAAGGTAATGGCCTAAACTCTGTAACTCTCTTTTTTTTCCAAGTTGCATTCATTTTGTATTCTACTAATGCTGTTACATAAAATTACCATTTTGAGCTGTGTATCACAGTCCAGACCCGGCTAGAGGACAATTCGACTTGAATTCGGTGCGGCAATTTTTTTATTTTAAACGCGAGGTACATATAATCTCATCTTATCACTCTCTACTTCTAGTCTTTAAGGTCAATAATCATGATACGCATGCTATCCATAAAAGTTGTTGCATATCCTTCTTAAGTTTATAAGCTCCAAATGGTGCCTACAGAGGCTTCTTTCCAACCTGAGCTATTTGATTCTGTTCTAGATACGTGTTTTTGGCCCAAACAAGATGATTAAGATGGGTGCCCCGCAAAGTTTAGTTTGTGTCACACGGACAAAACTGTAGTCCCAATGCATGCTAATTAATCCATGCATTCGTTATGAATTCTACTTCTAACACTATATTGAGCTTCTCACTTTGTCGATGGTCTCATAACGTGGTCCACTTAATTTACTTGTACATGGATGGGTAAGTTTTTCGAGTGCTTTGTATTCGGGGTGTCTCAAAATTCTACTGCTAATGCTAGGAAATTAATGAACTCCCCAAGGAATCTCATCTCTTGGTACATAATCAGTTTAGAAGTACTTTTGAAACACTTTCTTCAGTTACAAGTGATGATGTTTTAGTTCTTTAGAACTTGTTTGATAATGTTTTAGTTCTTTAGAATCCTATTTATGTACCAATATCGTCCGTTTCTAATCTAATTTTAAGATGGCATTCCAGGAAGTTTCAGTTTTCACAATTTTGCTCTTGTTTTTAACTTTCAGTAAGATTTTTTATAAGTAGGAAATTAAATAGGTATGAATAGCTTTTATTAAATTTTAAAATAAAAATAATCACAGAGTCGTTATCTATCTTTCGAGAAAAAGCTTCAACGCAATGTCAAGAAATTATATGCCGCATTTTGTGAAGGCTCGAATTTCATCCAGATGAATTATATTCTCAGAAACCATATCTATCGGACTCTAAATATGAGGTTTTTACGGTCCTGGAATAAATATATTTTGGAGCGTGTAAGATGAAACTACTTTTAAAATGGGAAGAGCAACACGTCCGGTAGGATTTTTCACGAGAATTTGCTAAAAGTTAAAAGAGAGAGAAAAAACCCCGAGAAAAAGGGAAATATTTTAGAGGGAAGTAATTGAAATAATGTCAAAGGTCTTTACTAATTTTGTCCAGTGTGAACAAACAAATTTTTTAGAAGTATAAGTCAAATAGTAATGATTTTAAGCTTTTATAGTAAGGATTTTAAGCACTTCTTTTTACACTATTTTGGAAAACCCAAGTACATTTTGTATGGTTGATAGAATAATCCTGGATCAAAATCTTCAGTATGAGTACTTGTCCAACACGAAATTTGTGGTTGCTAGTAACTGTAGAGAAGTAAAAAGTGAAGTCAACTGTGAAATTTTGTGAGAGATGTATCGTAAGGATTCCTTACGGTTTCACTCCGGTAGACGAGAGAAAAATGTAATAAAAAAAATATACCGACAGAAAAAAGTTGGGAGAAATTCATAAGAAAAAGATAAGTTAGACAAAGGATAGAAGTTATAGTCAGAGAGATTCCAGACGGAAAAGAAAGTCAAATGGATAATTTCATAGACAGAGACAAAGGTTAAAAGTTACAGAAAAAAAATTAACAAGAAAAAGAGAAATTTGAGAGAGAGATGGAGATGGGTACGATGAAAAGAGAATAGTGAGATTTCGGAGAGCATGGAACTGTTTTAGAAGCAGAAAACATTTTCAAAGGTAAACAAATTGAATAACTGAACGAGTATAATTCGAGTTATCGAAAAATGAAAAATAGAAAAAAAGATATTTCACCAACAAAAATTCGTTGTTCAAATGAATACGGCTAATTACCTCGGTTCGGTTAACCCCATTTTCATCACGTCTTTTCAACACTCTTGAAGACTTCAAATGAAAATCTTCCACTTGGCGATTTTGCACGTCAGCATGCCTGCCACATCTCAACTCAATATAATTTGATTAAATTAAAGCCCTTCAAATTTTGGCATTACAAGAACTCAAGGAACAGTACTATAAGTACACGTTGAAATCCAAGTGGTTAAGGATGATGAAGTTCAAAGCAATTTGGACAAGGACAACCACATATTCACTCCTGTTGTTCCCGTCAAACCTGCCATCTCCATGCGTATATGTATGTCTATAAGCTCCAAAAATCTCGCTAATTTTTCACGGGCGACCAACTAGTCATCGAGTGATCACCTTGGTCACCATGGTCCTTGGATGATTGGGATGCAATAACCCCAATCCTCAAACCTTGACCCCCCTTCCATGGAAAAGAAAATGATGCTTTTGTTCACGGTCTGTGTACCGTTTTATGTTCAGAAGAGGATCTATGGAACTGGATATAACCAAAAATTAAATACTTCTACTGTACTTGTTTTCCATCGAGCCAGCATAGTTTGGGAAGAACCTTGACCAGAAATGCCTTAAACCTTTCACTACATATCACGTTTCCCTCAATGTCTAACTGAGTCAAGCTTAGATCTTTGAATAGATAATAAGCTTCCCAATAACTTGCCAGATCGGAACAATCAGTTACCAAATTATCACTGCTCGAAGCATTTTCCTCAGAATGAGACATGGGAGATGGGAAGAGATATCTGGTCGTGTCGACTGAATGCGAACCTATCTCGTTGTGTGAAATATCCAAAACTTTTAAAGACTTCAAACGTCTCAGAGGCTCCAATGTGGTAAAACTACAGATTTTATTGTTACTCAAACTCAAGCAAGAGAGTCGCTGCATGACCTCCAATCCTGTCAAAGGAACGTAGGTGTAAAAAGTTGAAGTTTGTCTCATATATGGGTTGAAAATTTGATGACTGAAAAAGAAAAATCGTGTTGCAAGGTGGAAAGATCGAATTTCTAAAACATATAGAAATAAGGCACATGAATGGTGCCTTATTTCTATATTCTTGTATAATTACTGAAATCTAGAGCATGCAGCTAGATCTTGTAGATTGATTAATGTATTAACTTCTAAAATTGAAAGGCACATGAATGGTGCTTTCGGCATTTCTACGTGTTTCCTAAGCAGATTGATGGTTGGCTTCATGAGCTTCTCACAGGCTGGTTTTTACCTAGAAAAGCTAGATCTACTGTGGAATTGTGCTACAAGACTCTCTCGTGGCATATTTGTGGAGAAATAAGTCATCGCATTTTTTTAAGATAAGTCCTTTATTTTATACTCTTTCTTTGTAGAAGCACTGCTTCTATGATGCCTCAATTACAGTCATTTTTTGTAATTACAACCTTTCCATGTTTTTGCCTCAATTACAGTCATTTCTTTGTAATTACAACCTTTCCATGTTTTTGAACAATTGGAAAGCTTTTGTATAGCTTGGTCGGGTGGGGTTCTCTCTCCCCAACCCTTAGCTTGTTTCCTATTTTTGTTGATATAAAAGTTTCTTATCAGAATGGGGGAAAAAAAAAGCACTTGAATGGTCGGAGTTGAACTTTGCACGGTTATCCAATCAAATCACTTGAATGATTTTTCGATAAATTTAATAGGCATATAATTACCATAGATAACGTGAGAAAATGGTACCTTCAATTGATCGAAGTTCGTTGTGGCTTAAGTCCAGCACTTGAACCCATAGTAACTTTTCGACAGATCCCATCCGTGAAATTGATAAATTATTGAGCCGTAGACAGGTAGTGCTACCAATATATGGTGACGTCTGGTCTCTGTAGCAATAGCAGTGTCTTAACAAAGATTCCCTAGTCGAAGTCACCTGTGAAGAAACCAGAATATAAGTCGCTCTTCCTGTTGAATACATGACCCTAATGGAAGAGGTGAAAAGGAAAAAAATAAAAAAATATTGTAAGATTCATGGGACCGGCAAATTACCCCATCATTCTTTTTTCTCTTATCTCAATTTTTTATAAGAATTCTTGTTCTTTCTCTATTTTAATTTTCTTTTTCTAAATAAGAAACAAACAAAAGAGGAAAACATCTTATCCCGAACAAGTCAGAGGGCTTACACAAAGGTCTCCTGATTGGCAAGAATAAGAAGGAATTCTAAGAAGGAATAGATCAAATAAAAGCAAGATATTCCCATTGGTCCTAAGACTCTGTGAAGCTCCGACTTTGTCCTCAAAATTGCTTCTCTCTCCAATCAAATCTCCTAAGGGATAGTTTTAATAGGCAAGTGCTAATTTATGCACGTGAAACAAAGTAAAATATTCATAGATATAGCATAATTTGATGTCACAAATGGAAAAATAAAACAAGTGCTGAAGAGATTCTAATCCCTGGTGGCAAAAGGGACATCATCAATTCATCATCAACATCATAGATGAAAATGTAACATTTCAATAGTTGATAACTAGAAACTGTGAATCACCTTCTGCAATAATACTAAGCTGTGTTCATCTTTGTAGTAGTGAAAATGTGATGGGTCCAACTTCATCAGGTCCTGGTAAAGTTCGAGAACTTCCTCAAGTTGGACCATTTTATTCGCATGTGGAGACAATGTTGCAGCATGAGCCATCAACAATCTTGCAAGAGTGAGCTTTCCAATTTTACTACAAAAGAAAGGGAAAATTTAAACGAAAAATATGTGATCTAAAGACAATTTTAAATAATAAACTACATAGAACAAATGGGGTGAGCATACCAGTCAGTCTCCGATAATAATTCTCGGAAAAGAGCTATTTCGTTACTTATAATCTCGGCACACCATTCAGAACTAGAAGCAGCATAATTATCCTCAATGGTTGGATTATCAGAGGAAACAAACGGAAAATTCTGAGAACTAATTCCACAACTAGAAAAGTTTTCATCCTTCCACCAGATCCCTTCATTACTACAATCTCCGATAGGTGTTTTTCCGAAATGCACAGCCACTTTAAAAGAAAAACTAGTTGGTTTCACATAATGAGAACCACTTGCAGATGCTATTTTCTCAGAATGTCCAAGACTGACTTCCACTGAATAAAATTCAGAAGAATTGAGCTCTTCTTCAAGAAAAACCAGATGGCTAACCCAAGCCTTTGCAGCATCGCAATTACATTTTGAGAGTGGTTTCCAAATAAGACCTCCTATTAAATTAGCTGTAGATTTAACAGACACTGAAGATGAGTCGATACCTTGAACAGGTTGATCGAAATAAAGAATGAGGGGAAATGTTCCTGAATCAGAATGGAAACTATTAAGTGGAGATAGGGTGTGATCGTCGAGACATCCAGTTCTTGATAATGCAACATTATAACTGTGGGGTGGCCAAGAAGAAACAAGACTCGGAGCATTTGTTTTCACTGTTTGATCCAGAAGCCATAGATGATAAAACCAACCACTTTGATCATCTGGATCAGTGAAAATAGCTTGGTGCACGAGATCATACTCTTCGTTTAACACCTTTTCCACTGGGAAATAACATTCAGCTTTTTTGTTCAGCAATTTACCAAGAAGCGCACTACAAAGAAGTGGAAATCACATCAATGAATTTACACTAACAACACAGTTTCAAATAATTAAAACTTTCTACCGAAAGAACACTGTGAGGGAGGGGGGAAATTGCTAGAGAATTCCATAGAATGTAATTTTTCATGCACTATTTTTCCACATAAAAGTGCTCATGGAAGAATTGAGATGACTTTTATACGCTTCTCTTACGTTTGCACAAAGAAGTCGTACACGAATAATATCCTGAACTCTTACTGCGTTCATCAAATGGCTAACAGAGTTCAGACAAAAGTTCTACCCGTTGAGAACTGTGCTGAGTAAATCTGGTAAATCATGCAAACCACCATAGCACGATGAGCCCGCACAATTGAACCTAAACTTCTTACAACGAAACTTTTGAACTCGGAATTAAGTAGGCAATACCTGCGATTATGCCACGCCGAATAATTGCTGAAATTTGTGTCTATCATATTTGTTGTATAATTCAATTCATCCTCCTCGGGTATGTTCACTAACGCTGCCACAAATCTGATGAACGGACAAAGAAACAGATCAACTGATACCTCCAAATTGGACATGTAAACTGCGGCTATCGTCCTAAAAGGATTGGATAAGGAGAACGCAAGCAGGTATTAACCTTCTGTAATTCCATGCATGAAAATTCCTAGCGTCGAGTTTCTGAAACTTTCCAAGAAGTCGCAACTCATGATCGGTGGACGAATGCCCCTTGCTCAAGATCCACTTACGATGATACCACGCGCCGTATGACTTGACATTCTGACGGAGTGCGCTTTCAGCCTACAAAAGATGAATGGATCGCAACCAAAATCAGCAGCACGTACTAGTTAGCGACAGTAGGTAGTGGAGTTAGCCAAACGCATAATTGAAATGACAGTTCAAACTGATTGACTAAAAGCAGAAGCCTCGACGAGAATCGTAAAAAGAGCTTCCAATACAGTGACGCCAAATGAAAACTTACTACTCTAAGCTCCTCATTGAGAATCGCTTTGATCGACTCGGTATCTGATGGAGATTCCTTCAGATAGTGTTCTACCGCAAGTTTCCTATAGTTCCAAGCCGTATACAGATCCGGATTCATTTCCAGCACCTTAGCACTGACATCAAGAGCTTCCTTAGCATAGCTGCAATATTCAATCCGAAATTCAAATCAAAGAAAAACCTAAGCCGTCACTGAAACTCGGAATAGAGATAAGGAAGTTAGATATACTTCTTTTGGTGGTGATTCGCGAGCAATTGAGATTGAAGAGAGCGAAGCTTTGCGGCTTCCGCCGCCGAAGCTTCTTCTTCCTCCGGTTTCAGAGGCTTGCGCGGCCGTCCGTGCATTTCAGAAGAAAATTACAGTGTTCTTCGAAACAATCAAAGTCTGCGTCTCGGAAGAAGATGAAGAAGATGCAGACGTGACTGTGGAGAAAAGTTTCCGCTCGAATTCGAAGAATTGGTTTTTGACGGTCGAGATGCGGAGATCAACGTGGAACATCAAACGAAAACCAAGAGAGGGAGAACTGAGAAGAGAGCTTTTGGATGAAGATTCATTTTCATATTTGTCAAAACCCGCGAGCCGGATAAAAGTTTAAGGGATGAGTTGGGCCGGCCTGGGCCCAATACGTAATGTGGATCAGTTCTTTGATTCAGCCCAGCCCACGAAACGGCCTGGGTGTTCTCCACGGTGCGATCGCTACGGTATTTATCTATTGGTTGAATTTTGTATTAGAATAAAAAATATTAATAGTGTAAATAAATTTAAAATAATAATAATCCATTTCTAAAACAAATTTTTTTAGTACAATTTCTAAAACAATTAATAAAAGAGTTATGGATCTCATTTATATATAAGAGAAAAATGATAAAAGTAACTATCGTTCGAGTTCGAGTCCTTTTTCATACCTAAAGGCACTAGCACCAACCAGATTTATTTTATTGGTCAAGTCCATTAAGTTAAACTTACGAACTTCCGTTCAAGTCTAGGAGCTCGCAATGTAATTCACAGTAGAAGCTTCTATTTATCGTTGGGTCTCCACCAAAAGGAAATGAATCTACTCATTGATTTTCCAATGGAGGACAATGGAATCAATGTGATCTCCACAAGTATCGTTATACCTTCTCCTCCACTCTCCTTCTTCTCTCACTGTAAATTTAATTATGTAGCCTCGTTTGACCATTTTGTTCTAAAAAAGTTAGAAAATTGAAAATACATATCAGACAGAAAAAGTTTTATGTAGGTGTGGGTGCGAGTGAGATGTTCTCCCCATTCTCGTGTTCGTGAAAATTTTTAGTCTCCATCTCTACCTCGTTCTTGGGTCCGAGAGATGTTCTCGAAAAAAATTATTGGTTTTATAATTGTGTTATTTATTTTTAGAATTTAAGTATAAAAAAGTGTAATAAATATATATTAATTATTTAAAAAATAGAATCGGGGATGGGGTCGGGCTCGGGCTCGGGACATGCATTTCCTATTTTTTGGACCCAACCCTGCGGAAATTTTTGTTTCCCCTAATGTAGAGACAATGAAAATAAAGTTTAGAGATATGTAAATAAACTTTTTGGAAGATAAATTTTAGAGAGATAAATAAAAAGATTTAGAAAAAAAATAGTGAAGGAAAAGTTAAAGACAAAGAGAAAAAGAATAAAGAGGAAAAGATATGTTAAAGAAAAAAAATTATAAAGAAAGAGAAAAATTATAGTGGAAATAAATTTAGAGATAAAAACAAGATTCAAAATATAATTTTTAGAGAAAATAAATAAATACAAAGATAAATAAAATTTATCGAGAAAGAAAATTGAACGAGAAAATAAAATATAATTTTCAGAGAAAAAAATATATTACAAAGAGAAAGAAAAATTATAAAATATAAAATTTTAGAGAGACGAAAGTTAAGAAAAATATTAAATTTTTAAAAAAGAAATTAAACTAGTATGTTAGAAAAAATAAACAAAAATATATAAAAATTTAGAGACAGACAAATGATAATAAATATTCAAAATATGAAAATTTTATACAGAGAAAAATAAAGTTTGTAGAGAGAATTTATAAATAAAAAATTTAGAGTAAGAAATAAATTTTTTAGAGATAAATATGAGAAAAAAAAATTGAGTATTAAAAGAAAAATCAGATTTTGAAAAACAAAAGCTTGTTTTTGAAAACTTATTTTTTTGTTTTTGAAAAACAACAAACAGATAATTGAATTTGTTATCAAAACAAGTATGTTTTTGAAAAACTAAAAACGAAATGTCAAACGGTCCGTAACTTTTTTTTGAAATGGTNTTTTTTTTTCCCTCATTTTCTCCTGTAAGCCATTCGATCTCCTCTTCGATATTTGAGATAGGTCCATCAAAAGGGAATAATTTTATTCTCATTTTCCCATGAATTAATTAGGGCTAGAGATTTGGTTCTAAAAGCCTGAAATGAATTGTGTTTAAACCTAATGTTTAACGATTTGATGGTTATTTGCTTTTTAATCAATTGTGTTTCAATTTCCTTCTCTACAAACTATCGTATATTTCTATTTTTATTTTAAAAGTTATAATAAATTCATATAAAGCCAGCATGTGCATGCTTTTTTTAATTAAATTAATAATAATATAAATGACTTTATTATGTCAAGCACTCTCAAGTGTCAATGCCATCCAAATTAGGTGCCCATCCAATTAGGACACGATTATTTATTTATTATTATTTTTACTACTGGGACATCAATTCCACCTATTATTTCCTTATTATTATAGGTTTAAAAAGTTTGAATAATAGCCGCTTAACAATAATAACGATAACGATGTATTAAAGAAGGATTTTTCTTTTTTTAAATATTGTTCCAAATGAAACTTATTTTAAAAATATAGTTGTTTAATTAAAAATATTGTAGGTTTTGAAATTTATTTTAAAAATATTATACTTTTAAAAAATAGAAGATTGGTCGTCTCTTGAAGAGACGACCATTTAGACGTGGCGCCATTTGAGACGACCATAAAAAATAAAATTTATTATATTATATATTATTTAGTAGTTTTAATGTTAAAAATTGGTTAGTGGTGTAGTGGATGTACTATTACTCTAATATTTCTTCCATCCCAAGTTCAAATCTTAGGTAACACACTTTTTTATTTTATAACCATTAATCATCTCTTTTTATATATATATATATATATTATTATTATTATTTATTTGTCTCTTTTTACTTATAGATGATTAATGGTTATAAAAATAATATGACCATTTTCATCCAAACTTCTTTTTTTATACATTATTATTTCTATTCTATATATTATTATTCATTTAATAATAATAATAAAGTTATTATTATTACTATTATTG